ATATATATATATATATATATATATATATATATATATAGAATAGTAAAAAAAGGAGAACTAGAAGTTGTGCTTGGAACATTCTACTAGACAAATATGCAGATTCAAACGATCCAAAAGCTGGGAATTGATTGCACTGCTGGAGACTAATGAACAGTGCCTTGTGTGATTCAACAAACAAGCACCGATTGCTAACATCTTACGTTTCTGGATCGAACAGCTTCAATAATAATCCTCTCGTTGTACCCCGTGCCGGCATTAATAAAACAGCGGCCCAAACACAAGAACACAGGAAGAAGAAAAGAACGAAGTGGGATCGACAGCTACAAGATTGGAAAGCGAACAGAAGGTGCTTACCAGAATGCCAAAGCGAAACCAACTCGACCTTGACGACGACCTCCCGGTAGGCTTACGTATCAAATCCCCAACTCGGGGTCACAACGGGTCGGACATTTCGGTATTCAAGTCCATCCAACCCGCTTGAATCAGGTTCGAGTTGACTGGGTTCGGATTCGAATACAAGAGTCGTGTTCGTACTATCGTCTTCCTAATGGTACCCGATCCGTTTCCCGACGAGGCACCGATCGTTATCATGTGATGCGTAGGTGACACGTTTGCCCCTCTTATGTAGACGTGGACCCATGCGCCCTGCATGCCTGCCGCCAATTAGGAGGCAGGTATGTTCCTTATAGGACTTGAAACGGGTAAAAACACATTGGGACAAGTGAATCTCCTTGCCATGCCATGTGGAAGTACTCTGGGATGGCGGTCCCATTGGGTTCTTCCGGGGACCCGAGGGATCCCCTCCAATGCCAATGCCTGTCCGCATACACAGGGGGCCCCCACAAATGAAAAGCTGGGGCCAGTCTCAGTGGATAGCCACATGATAAGGGGACTTGAACGGTTTCCTTTTAAAGGTGCGTCTTGGAGAGGATCCGCGTCATTTCAAGGCGGAGGTAATCGGCCAATGACCACGGCCGCGAAACCACATTGAACTCGGGGTTGGGGTCCGGTCAGGACACTGCCTGTATATGGTAAAACAGGACACACTGATCGAGGGTGCTGCCTTCGTCTCGAACTGGTGGTACCCATGCCTTTGCATGGAGAGTACACTGTATTCTGTGTTGGATGGAACAGGTGATCTGAGCCCCGGTGATCCGAACTATTAAGCCGGGCGGGGAAGAGGGCAGAAAAGGTGACCTTTCCGATTACGCGAAGGGGTTTTCGTCCTCTTCTCTTTATTTGGCAGGGTTCGATCGCTCGAAGCGCTGCGATCTCCATCAGGTACGTCTCTTCTTCGACACCAATCTAGTCGTGGCTTAAATTTCACACTATACTTCGGATACCTCTTCCGAACGAGATAAAATTGGCTCGATCCAGCTAGGGTTCGGTGAATTTCGCATGGATGTTCGCCTTCTTGCTATTGCGTGATTCTCAATGGTTCTGCAAACTTGTTTCGAAAGTTTTGGATCGATTTAGAAGGTAATTCCAAGTGTTCGTGATTGTAGAACCTGGTATCAGATGCTCGATGCCGTAAAGTTGCCTACTTTATGGGGTGTGTGTTTCTGGGGTTATCAAGAACATGCTCCTGTGCTCTTTAGCGGGGTTACATTTACTTTTTTGTTGGTTTCAGGATCTATCCCACCGACTAATAGGTATGTATTTGGTGCTACACATTGGTGCGACGTTTGACAGACGCTTTCTTGTTAGAGATGGAAGTAGGGTTTTTACTACTCGTGTTACTCCTGTTTTTGCTCTTGTTTATTTTGGCCTTTGATGTTGAATTCTCATACCATTTGTTGCTTTGATTTTGTTTCCTTTTACAATTTGTGCAAATTAATATATTTTGCCGTTATTTTTTTTGTGGTAATTTGCATTTATCTATTGTTAGTAGCTTCAGTGATTTGTAGCTATAAATGCGAAGATTGGTAGTTGGCAAAGTCCTGTTTGCATTGTTTCCGGTGTCCACTATCTGGTAGCTAATATATAATATGGCTTTCAAGGCAGTTGGAATGACTGAAGAAGGCACAGCAATTGACGCAGAGGGAGCTACAGGGTCAAATATTGGTAACCCACAACTTGAGGACAAATCTGCTATATGCGACACTGCAAGGGAAGAACAAATGGATGTAGATGAGAAGAAGGAAGCCAAAGAAATCGACATAGATGGACAGGAGAAAAGCAAAGGCAAGAAGGATGTGAACAAAGATGACCATGTTTTAGAAGAGGGTGGAGAAGAAAAGAAGGAAGGTGAAGCAGAAGAGGATGGCGAGGAAAAGAAGGAAGGTGAAATAGAAGAGGATGGCAAGGAAGAGGAAGAAGGAGATACAAAAGAGGAGGGGGAGGAAGAAAAGGAAGGTGAAATTGAAGAGGATGGGGCGGAAAAGAAGGGGGGTGAAATAGAAGATGATGGAGATAAAAAGACGGAAGGGGAAGTAGATGGAGATGAAAAAAGGGAAGGTGGAGATTGGGAGAAGGAAGTTGATGTAAAAGATGGAGACAAAATGAAGAAAGTTGAAGTAAAAGAAAATGGAGACAAAAAGAACGAAGGTAAAGAAGTGATTGATGCTTTAGAAAATGAGGATGGACAACAAACTGACATAACAAATTTGGAAAATGTGGGCAGTGAAAAAGAGTACACCGAGAATGTAAATACAGTAGAACCTGAAGATGTGAAAATGGTGGATGCAGAACATGTGAAGGCTGATGCTGTGGATGTGAAAATGGTAGATGCAGAGGACGTTAAAGATGAAGAAAAAGGAGGCGAGACAGTTGAACAAGGGGTGCAGGATGCGACTGAGAATGATGTGAATCTGGAAGAGGATGTTGGGATTACTGCAGAGAAGGTTAATGAGGATAAGGGGGGTGATCGGTCAAAAAAGAAAAGGTCAGGGCCGAAGAAGTCTGGTCAAAAAGGGGAAGGAAAGGATAAGGATGGTGAGACAAAGGCCATGAAATTGTTGGCGTCTCCTGGGTCTTCCATTGAACGTCCTGTGCGCGAGAGAAAAACTGTGGAAAGATTGGTGGAGGTCATTGAAAAAGAGCCAAATAAGGAGTTTCAAGTTGAGAAGGTGCCTTATTTCTCATTCAAGTTGTCCTCATGCTTTTAAATTAATTACCATTATTAATTAACTTGAATGCTAACTTTCTGAAATCTTTGCTTGCAGGGCCGTGGCACTCCTTTGAAGGATATACCAAATGGTATGGTTCATAGCTGTTGGATTTTTTTTCCCTGATCCTATTTTTGGATAGTTTGATCAAGTTGTTCATCTTGCTTATTGCTTTATAATTTTAGCTTTTAGGTCTTTCACCTAGTTGTTGCTTTAATTTTGTTTGTAGGAAGTAGACCATCTGGAGATTCCGCTTGAACTTTTGTCTAATTTGAGATGGTATCTTGCCTTTTGCATTTTTCTGCTTCTTTTTTTCTGTTCTGACCAGCTTAAAGGCATTCTGTTGGCTGTATATGCACCCATATACACGAATCTGGTTTTATGCGGTGCCTGCAAGAAGCCTAGAGCATGTAACAGGCATACAGAATTCTCTAGGGACTCATTCAGCTGGGATGTCTCCCTCGTATTGTGTTTAATTTAGTGGTTTATGTTATCGTCCTAATCATTTTGCATATTATTTAACACGTGAGTTTGGCTAACCCAGCATCTGCTTTGCATTCTTCTATCCAGCCTCTTCTGAGTTTCAAGTCAGTGGTTGCACAAGTTATGTAAGAGTTGGATTCTTAGGTGAATGCCTGAGTGCATGCTGATCTAGTCATTTTGTGATTCTGGATGTCTATTTATAAAACATAATAAAATCTCGAAAAGAATAAAAATTGTTACATGCTGATCTAGTCATTTTGTGTTTATACTTGGTATTGATCAATTTACAGAATTGCATTGTTAATGATGGTTGTCAAAACTTACTTTTCCTTTCTGATGATGGTGCTTTTGGATGAATTATGTTGTGAAAATTCCATTTCCTTTGATATTATCATTTTTTTATCTATGACCATCTCATTTCTTTATGTTTGGCACACTTCTGGATATCGTTTCAGTGGCCCACAAACTAGCAAGAAAAAGGCCTGCAGATATTAAGCTGATTCATCAGACTCTTTTTGGAAGAAAAGGAAAGGTAGTTTGGAATATGACTTAAATTTCTTATTCAGTTTGCATTTAGCCTGCTGGTTATGGTGTTTATAAGCTTCATAGTGCAATTCACTATTGTTATGCAACTTTTCTGTTGTGTTGCTGTGTATATTGAGGTGCATATAAGCTTCATAGTTTAATTCACTGGTATCATGCAACGTTTTCTGATTTGCTGTGTTTATTAAGGTGCATATTTGTTTTAGTTGTAAACATTTCTACTCTGATAGTTCTTAATTTAGCTTATTAAATGTAATTTTGACTATGAAGGAATGGAGAGCATAGTCTGCATTTCATTTCTTACACATGATGGTTAAGTGTCGTTTATGATCTGCATCTGCTTAAGCGTAGTCTCCATTTCATCTCTTCAATATATGTTATTTCTGATAACACTTGAGAAAAACTTTCTCATAGCTGAAAAGCCATTGTAAGGAACAAAATAATCTTATGTTGGTTATAATTTTAGTTTTCAAATTGTATATTGGTAGAAATGGAGGCTTAACTGTATACACCATGCAGCTTGTATTGTGTGTTGGGTCTTACAATAGGAAGCATGGAACAAACCCAGGTACTTTTTTAGTGACTGGGACTGGGTATGCTGATATTGCTGTATTGAGAAAGGATACTCTGGGGCATGGACACAGCAATTAATAATATATACACTCCATAAATTGCTATGATTTTATTTTTGAGGTAATATTGTACAATGACCATCATGCATAACTTATGGGAAGCATGGCAATCATTCTTATAAATAATAAACATTTTTGTAAAATACTTTAAATGCATGCACAAAATATCAGTGAGCTTGAGTTTATATATATGTATAGGAGGTCGAGTTCAAAATACAATTGTACTGTACTACTGTTGGTATTTGCCACTTCAGAAGGTCTTGTGCAAATGATATATGTATACATGTTTTTTCTATGTGTTTCAAAATATCTTACAAGTCTTAATAAATAAATGTTGGTGTCTAAAAATGACGACACAAATATGGCAGACATTTTAAAGTGTGTGTGATCTTCTATTATGGGAACTCCAGTAATAAATCCTGAAGAAGCTTCAGGGTCTTGTACAATTTATTTGTTTTCTTCACCTTGTCTATGTTACCATTGATGTCATTGTAAGTTGTTAGCGATGTTTACTTTTAAATGATTAGCATTTTCATTCCCAAGTATGGCAGATATTCATAGTTTGAGTGAGAATCCTTTTTGAAATGAAAAGCTGTATTGCTTGGTTGTTTCAAAGCATGCTGGCCAAGTTTGTGTTAGTGCCAGTGCAAAATATGTACAACAGTCACTTTTTAAGTAAAATTTAGTTTCTTTTTTAATTTGTTTTCACCAAAGAATGAAGTGTAAATTTTAGTTTTTACCCTCTCACGCCAAATTCATTCACCTGAGTTTGTAAAAGGCTCGGGGTCTATGCTCAGTTTCTAGTCGTTAGTGGATCTGAATTATATTGTTGTTTTACATAATTTATATTGTCAAGGACAGCTCTCTGATTTTCTTCTGATGCGATGACGATAGCATACTTCGCCTTTGACAGATACTAACAATTCTCTGTTTGTATGTCTGATCACAGGCTGTCAACTTCAAAAGTCATATTCTTCAATTTTCTGGATTTGTATGGCATGAAAGTGATGTAAGGAGTTTTTTTTATACTAGATAATATAATGCAGCCAAGGTTCTTTTTTGACCTCCTGTGACATTCAAACCTTAATGGCTGCAGGAAAAGCAGAGAGCTAAGATGAAGGAGAAGCTTGACAAATACGTAAAAGATACACTCTTGGATCTCTGTGATTTATTTGATTTATCTGTTTCCAGAGCAAATAGTAGAAAGGTTAGTTGAGTTTATTATGAAAACATGGTTTAAAATATATGAGATCACCATGAATGGCCTTTATATATCTTTTTCTCTGAGATACCATGATAATTGTTTGAATGACTTATGCCTGCAGGAGGATCTTGTGACAAAGTTATTGGACTTTTTGGTTGCTCCTCATTCCACAACTGACAGTGTACATGCTGAGGACCAGGTTTGTCTTATTTATGAAACAAATTTTCATTGTAGCACCTTTTTTAATGATGCACAATCGTTAATGATGCCTAATTTGAATTTTCATATTGTTTTCTGACTGTTCATCATGCTGATATTTTGCTTTGATTTCATTGGCGTATGCCCCTAATTTGGAGTCCCTTTCTAGCAGAAATCTAGAAAGCGTAAAAGAATGGATAGGGGAAGTGCATCAAAGAGAAGAGGGGTGCTGACCAAGCATCCAGAGGTCTGTATCAGAAGCATTAGTGTGCACACAGTCTTATGATCATCCTCATGCTTCTGCCTTTTTCTTTCTCTTCTGATGAAATCTGTATGGTATTTGATTTTGCAATGTTATATTTCTTTTGCTGCTATTGTTCTGACAGTTGCTATGACTCTGAAATTCAATCATCCTTGTAAACTAATTTCTAATTTTATTCCGCAGAAGTGGATTAAAAGTGAGGAAACAGCAGCCACAAAAGAGAGTAGTGCACAAGAAACAGAAGATGAAGAGGAGGATGAGAAGGTGGTGGATGTTCATTCTGAAGAAAAGGTACGCAAGCATTCTGAGAGTGAAGCAAAGGAAACTGAATCCGGAGAAGATGAAGATGAAGATGAAGATGATGATGATGTAGATGAATATGATGAAAAGAAATTGGGGAAAGGCAAACCGGATAAAAGAAAAGTTGGCAGGCGACAAGGTTCTGTTGCAAAGGAGAAGTTGAAGGTCGGCACCAGCCCGAAGAAGAGCTCGCTGCCCATGACCACCAACAGTCCTGCAAAAAGATCATTTTCCAAGCGCTCTAAGGCTGAGGAGGACAATGACGCAAGTATGAAGGTTTTTGTCAGCAAGAAGAGAAACTTGGGTTCTCCAAAGAAAAAATCAACTCCTAAGTCAAATACTAAGGAAAAAACCACTGGTATGCACTTGCCCCATGCACTTTCATGATATGAACTATGGAGAGGATGGTTGGATGATAACTGGTGCACCTGTTATCTGTGTATCTGGATAAGTGCTTTTGATGTTATTATAGCATGCTCTAACCATTATGATGTTCTCAGACTAATCGTGTGATTTGTGAGTTAAAACATAAAAGTATTATTCTCTTTACTTAACAAAAAGATTGCTATACCAGGACCCCAAATACTTGGGATTTATGGGTGTAGTGATCAAAACCCAATGGTAATCACGTCAACTGCTATTTTCAAAGTTGTGTTGTTGCTGTGATCTATATCACACAATCAGTTGGCTGATTATGATTTATTTCTTAGTATGTTGTTCTCGATTTCAATGTATGATTTTTCATGTCATCATCAGTAGTAAGTGTGATATTGATTTCTTTGCAATCTAATTATTTTTCCTTTTTTTTGCTTGGTTGGTTTGGCAGAGATACCTACTTTGTTTTGTGGAGGCAGAAATGTAGAACATTGCAAATAAAATTTGTATTTTTTGCTTTAGTTTTTGGCTTTTCTGACTTCCATCTTTTCTTGTGATAAGGGTAAAGAACAATGCCTTTGATTTTTGTTACTCGAGCAACTTTTGACAACTTGATAGCAGCTTTCCTGTTGCATGTAGTTTTATTTACTTCCTGATTCAGCATGGTTATGTTATGATTCATAGCGCTTTGTTGAAATTGAACTCAATGCCCTTTAAAGCAAGCTCATCGTCCTTCCAAAATGTTCTTCTTTTTGTTTTTTTTTTCCTTGGTCTAATGCTGCAATTACTCCTAATATATTGAAAGTATGGTATGCCTCATGTTCTTTTTTGTCTTCTTGTGTTTCTATCCCTTTTTGTTGAATATCATATTATCAGCGAGTATGTTGATCTTATTGTTATCTATTATCTGATGAAGATAAGAAGACGGCTCGAGGCAAGCCTAGAAGGCTTGAGGTGGAGCAACCAACCAAGGAGGAACTGAGAAATAAAATATGTGAAATTTTGAAGGAAGTTGATTTTAACACGGTGGGTACTCTTGTACTAGAAATTGTCTGAAACTCGTACATAACAGGGAAATTGCTGCACATTCTGCAGCCCATGGGTGCAAATTTCAAATTTCTCATTGATGCACTTATTTCCTTATTAAGCCTTTTTCTTTTTATAATCCTAGCTAGCATATGATCAAGAATACTAATTCCTCACCTCCTGTTTTGTTTTCTGCTTCAGGCAACATTCACTGACATACTCAAACAGCTGGGTATGCCCTTTCTAAACTACTAGATTCTTTCTGAACAGCTGGGTATGAAATGATTAGGAAAAATTGCTTTGCAGCTGCATACTACAAAATGGATTTGACACCGAGAAAAGCATCTTTGAAGCTCATGATCCAAGAAGAGCTGACCAAGTTAGCCGAGGAAGATGAAGAGGACGAAGATGAAGATGATGATGACGCCGAGAAGGAAGGAAAACCAGAATCAAAGGGCAAAGCGGTGGAAGCTTGATCGGCACAGAAAGATCTCACAAACATGGTACTTCACCTTTTAAGCTTGTGCAGCCACCTTTAACCTATCACAACATCTAATCGTCGGCTCGACATCCCTCCCTTTTAGCTTCACCTTTTTCATGTACATTTATATTATAGAGTTGTAAACATCTTTTGAAGCCTATGTTAACCCTGGTACTTACCATGGCGACCTGGTTTCTGTGGTGCATCTTTGCTGCCAGACACTGAATTAGCTTGACTCATCCCCAAACACACAAGCTGGTATATCTTCTCTGTTGTTGTCTTCAAATTAGGCTAATTTAAAGGACTCCCTCCATTTTTTTTCTCTTTTTTTCCCCTAAATGTTCTAGTCTTCCCTGTGCCATAAACTACCAAATATTTTCTGCTGGACTGGCAGTGTTTTCCTTGGTATGGTTACTCCTTGTGAGTGTTGTTGCTCCGTTCCTTGGATCTATCTAGGTTACTGTTTGCAACTGTGTGATTTATGGGATTTTGTGATCTGAGTATTTATGCGAAGCAGACTATTCGTATCTGAATGAATGGCTGTTGAATGATTGATTCCCGGTACCGTTGGTGACTTTTGTATATCTTCTTCATGAGAGCTTGGTATAGGCCGCCGGTGGTCTTCATGAGACCCTACGGTGGTGCGCTTACCACCAATGACAGAGAGGGTAAACTCACTTTCGAAAGAAATAAATCTTGGCGAAATCCTCCAACGCCGGTGGTCTTATTCTACGATGCGGTGACTTGATCGGAGCGGTGCACGTGCCATCAGTGTGTATGTTTACCTCATGTTGTTAGGTAATCCGTCGCCGCTCGCGGATCTATTCTCGCTCGTCGTAACGCTGTTAACGCCTTACACGTGAACCGCCCGGCACACGTACTTCGGGGTGAGGTTACCGATAGTCATTTTCATGTCAAACTGCTTCCAAGAAAAATTAACCATTGGGAATTCGTTCCACTCGCGGTGACCAGACTCTAACGCCGTAAGCGCGTTACACGTGGCTCTGGAAACCTTACCTCGACCGTCTATCGTTCGTGGACTTATTCTCCGTCGTGGTGACCAGACTCCAAGCTTTCCGATACACGGTATCAGCAATCGAGTATTGGATATGATGACAGTAAATCCAAAACTACGACGAAGAGATCGTCGAGAAGTCAAGCATCATGTGGTAGAGGAGACACATCAAGAGTGGGAATCTTAAAGCACCAAGAAGGCCAGGAACACTAGGGTTTTACATCCACGTGCACCCAAAGTCTGGAGAGCCAATTCTTCCTGGTAGACGAGAGGGTGGAATTGGCGTCGTGGGATGACCGCATCGTCTCCTCCAAGTTCGTCTCCGAGTTCTTCGTGTTGCAGAAGCGACGCAGGCAGTAGAGCGCGAGAGCGAGGAGGGGAAGCAGAGCCAGCAACGCCTTGGCGCACCGGCTGCTCTCCTCCACCAGCCCGACGAGCTTCTTCAAGAGATGGACGATATGGCTCAGCTTCTCTACGATGTCCTCCAAGTCGTCGTCGTCGTCGTCGTAGTATTTTCCGAGCCTTCTTTTTTCCTCCATCATCGGCTTCTCAGGTTGCGGTGACTCCCAGTAGCAGCGGCTTGCCTCCTGCGTCCTGCTGCTGCTACAAATAAAGAGGACTGATGAGCCTTCACAGGAACAGGTGAACTGTGTCTACAACACCTGTCTTTGGATCCCCACATCAATAATACTTGGCCTGATAAATGAAGTTCCTATCATATGCGTGATTCATGCAGGGCGAACATTGTGCCCTGCACGTAGCTATTCAATTCTACGTACAATACAACATATTTTGATTGTCGAAAGTATTCCGTAAGGATCATACAATATTAAAACATAAGCATATGTTGTTGTTATCTCTCTCTCTC